GATTTCCAACACGTGAGCATGTGAGCGCCACAGCTAGTAACTCTGTAACAGCTAACACAACGGTTAATATTTTTTTACTGAGAAATGAGCCATATAAAACATGCAACAAGGAAACAAAAAGGGTATGAAGAGCAGGTGTAATATGCCGTCCCCGGGTGGGCTTGAACCACCAACCTTTCGGTAGCCGAACGCGCTAACCGATTGCGCCACGGAGACAACTGAAAATGTTTTACCGTTAAGGACTACATTGTTTTTTTCTAAATCTTAGATGTTTAGAGTCTTTCGAAAAATGACGAATGTATCAATTTTATACTTATCAATTTTCGGTATCAATCGATAGCAAGAGAAGGGAAGTCGTTCATCATAAAAGTTTCATCTAATCCCAGTTCCACCGCGGCTTTCGTGTAGATCACTCTGGAATAGGTTGTTATTATTAATAGGGGGTCAGAACATTTTCCACTGTTTCATGTTTTGTACCGTGACTGAGTCACGTATTTGTTTAGGTGTATGATACCTTGAAGTTTACAGACGGTTGTAAACTACATTCCTCAGTTTTTTGCTGCCTTTGCCATATAGTAATGATCCTGGACTGTGTTTTGGGTTTAAGAACTGTATGAAGCTCTCTATCATCCAACAACGACAAGCACAGTTGCCACTCACGGTTTGAAGGCAGCTTTTGGCAAGCATTTCCTAACAGAATTAAGACATTTTTATATCATTGCCTTATGTCAGCCTCGCATTCCTCGGTTTTTTTGTCAAACGCACAAAAAACTTCTTAACTGTTTGGCAAGCTCCATCTAAAATCTAACCCCTCCATGCGAGGCGCCGTAGCTCAGTTGGTTAGAGCGCCTGTCTAGTAAACAGGAGGTCATGGGTTCAAATCCTATCGGTGCCTTTCGTTTTTCTTTTTTTTCATAATATTTATCTCATATACTTTCATAAATTTTCCCGTTTCCTGTGTCAAAAAAACACTGGTAACAAGAGTGGTTCGAAGGTAATGAAGACCAAAATAAAGCTCACTGCGTCAGAAAAAAAACAGAAAATCACAAACGTTCAACATGGAGTTAAAAAAAACAACAACTGCCTGAATCTTCCCAAACACAAGTAAACAGAAAACTAGTGGCAAGTAACCGAGCTTAAACAAGGGAAACTCAATTCCTCAACGGTACTCAGAACTTTTCCTTTGTCCAAAAGCTCAAAAAAAACATATTTCTCCATCTCACCACCAAACGTAGTATTTAATATCTTTCCTATTCTATTTACACGCAGGAGCCTTTCGACATTGTTAATCTTAGCAGTATACAGGACAAATGTCACATGCGGACCTAGCGATGACCCAGTGCAGCGTTGTGTCATTGTGGCTCAGGGCTAGAGAATTGGAGGGCGGAATCCGAAGATCTAAGGTTTAGCTTCTCGTGAGGACTCAGAACTTTTCCGTTTTTCTAAGCTTGAGACAAGACAAATGAAAAAAATCTTTCTCCCAAGGAAACTTAATAAGACGAAGAACAAATTTTTTATTACATAAACAGCTTTAAACTCTCTCTCTAACAGTTCAAAAAGGATCCGATCGATAGCAGAACCTGGATCAAATTTACTCCAATTTTTATTGCTGCAAGGGGGAAATAAAGTTTATCCTCAGAGGATCGCTAGTGATACCATAGTGAAATACTACACCCGTCCGCTTATGATCTGAAGTAAGTACATCAAGAGAGGATAACCTCTCTTGGCTACGTTTTTTATGAATTGAAGCATTTATTAAGACTCTATTTCTTTAAAAAAAATTCTTTTTCGGGAAAAAATTGTTTCTGGCATGGCTTGAGCCTGCGACCTTCCACGTATCAGGCTGACGTGCAACCTCTTTCCTTCGGAAGCCAAACGCACATATTCCATTTAAATTTTCGAAGCTATTTCAATATGGCCTGTTCAGTATCGTTATCAGATTTAACCATAACTCAATTCGACAAAGCCCAGTAGGAGCCAGATTTAATGATCTCCTTTCATAGATATCAAGTCGGTGACGTTAATATGGCGCGAGAGAGATTTTCGTGTTGACAGCACAGCGTAATCTTTTGTAACTCCTCTACTGTAGCTCACTGTTTGTTGATATCGCTTTCTTATGTTCATGAAATAACAAGTTGATTTCGGAATTAGCCTGTAGAGAAAAGTTGGTATTCGGAAAATACGGCTAAACACCAAATGGATGCGCGTCTCCACGGCGGGGAATCGAACCCCGGTCTCCCGAGTGACAGGCGGGGATATTGACCACTATACTACCGATGATGTCGCTATGTATGTAGTGTAAATACTATTTTGTTAATAGGTGGTTTTATTAACATTTGATACGTGTTTAGTCCTTTCTGTTGCCAAGACTTACCTGACTAAAGAGGGTGCCCTCTGTAGGAACTAAATTAATTTATGTTTTTTTTAGCCTGCGCTCTGATTTCCTTAATTGTGTCTCAGTCCAAGTTTGTTGTCTGGAATCGGATAATTCCTTCATTATACAGTAAATGGTTTGAACCCGGGGGTAACATGTAATAGTGCAGTTTGATCGTCCGGGTGAGTGTAGTCCTGAGAAGGACTGTTGTTGGTAGTGGTGACTGCTGTTTCGACAACCTGAGCGGAAGTCATCATCAGAGTCAAGTGAAAGGTTTTTGTTTTTCGAATGTACTTAGTCCGGTTTGTGTACACTGATTGGTCAGTTTTGGCTTGATGTTATTGGCTGTAAGACTCAAGTGGCGTAGGTCAGTCGTGATTGGTCGGTTTGGATCCGTTAGTGAAGTTAGGTCGTTCTGTTCGGTTCGTTTGTAATGTTAATGTGGTGGATGAGTCGTTTGTATGGTGCCGGTAATGGTTGACACCTGTTGAGGGGAGTCTGTTCCAAGTTAGTAAACCAGCTTTCCAGGGTCAGTCGTTGAAAGTAGTTGGTGCTGTAGGTTAGGCATTGCGCAGAGTCCCAGTCAATAGTGTGGTTCCTAAGTCGGTGATGTTCAGCAATATGATTGTTGGCATCGCCTTTCCTCGTCGCTCGTTTGTGTTCAGTCAGTCTAGTTGTAAGGTTTTTGCCAGTCTCACCGATGTAGGAGGCGTGGCAGTCGGAGCAATTGATCTTATATACTGCTCCTTGTCTGTTCCTCGGTTCGTCTCTGTCTTTGATGCTAGTCAGTAACTGACGTAGTGTGGTAATAGGTTTGTGAGCGACACGGATATTGAATGGTTGTAGGATGCGTGAGATGTTCTCAGATATGCCCTTTATGTATGGTACAGTAGCTGTGGTCGTATGAGTTGCGTTGTCGTTAGCTTCGGTAGTAGTAGTAGGTCTGTGAGTGTTTCGCCCTCTTTATGTAGGAGGCAATTCACGCCTAAGAATGTATTGTTATTCGAAGTTCGCTTAAAGATGAGTAATGCTTACACTTATAATGAGTATAACAAAAGATGTGGCCATTTTGATTATTGCTTAGTAGTCTTTCCGCTGACCGGTGACGTAACAAATTTTGGCTCACGATTATGCTTGCACTCAAACCAGAGTAGAACAGAGCACACAGCGGTCAAACATCTGTGCATGGACAACGTAGCCTTGTCGTGTGCTTTGGGCTGTCACAACCATGTTGTCCAAACGAAATATAAGCAACCACGCAGGCTACTAAGTCTCGATGTTTCAAAAGCGTAGAACTTTTTAAGATAACTAAAGCTAAAAACAAAATATACGATAACATAGATTATATTTGTTAATCTGCTGAGAGATATGCTATGTTGCGACATAATAAGCCTTTATAAAAGAAGGACAAAAGGTGACTACACAAAGTATTCACTATGTTTCTGGCAGGGCTCGAACCTGCGACCTTCCGCGTGTTAAGCGGATGTGATAACCACTACACTACAGAAACCACCCTGATACCATTCGCCCTCACATGGCACACATTTTCTCTAGCCCCTGAAATGCATAGACTTAATTTCGACGTGTTTGATGTTAAAACAACAGTTGGCGTAAAAACTGGACCCCGCCGCTACATTTAACTTGTTGCCCTTTTCCCACAACGTTAGGATAGTAAAATCTGCTCATTGGGGTCTTTCCTGAAACATAAAAACGAAACAAAGTGCGGAGATACGCATTTAACAAGAAACTGCAACCCGGAATACAGCCTTTCTGATCCCCCCCCCCTCCGCACCCCCCCCAAAAAAACCATATGATCCTCAAATATTCTCTAGAAAGGGTATTTTTATAATTATCATTCTACTGCAACAGGTAGATTGATACCTGTGTGCTATAACTTTGTCATGGATGGACTGGTGTTCTTGGACTTTCGATAAGAAGTCGCATTTCTGATCATTTTTCAAGTCTGATTGAGCACTTGTTTAACTTGGGGGCGTATCCTCAGGCATAAGAGGAGTCAGGAGCCCATTACTTGGAGCCTTCAACTGCTCCATATTTTTGTCACGGCGTTTTCACAGACAAGTCTATTTTCAGTTTGAATTTACTGCGAACTAGGACTCCCCACGAGAGCACATCGACCAATCAAGATTAGCGCCTGGTTAATTTCTAACTTTACTCGTTAATATATGGAAAGAAAAACAGCAGAGAGATGCAAGGCCTCTTGCGATAGTTCGAGTGCAGATTCACATGAACAAATGCGTCCCAAGCTCGATAAAAAGCAAACGATTAATTCATGTAAGCGTAACATGTTGTGTGACTCGGTGTTAACTTACGGAGAAACCGTTGATAATTTGAACATGCTATAAGGAGTAGCATAGGGAACGAAATATGGTCGATTTACAACGATAAATATTTCGAAATATGAACATTTTACACGTTAAATCAATAGAATTTACTCACATCTTTTGTTTCCGTTGTGGTTTCCGGCGTTCTCTACCGTTTTAAGCTTGCTTTACCGACTTTTTTAAGAGTTTCTTTAAGAGCCTTAAAGAGTCTTTGTGAGTTTCTGTGCTGTGATTAGTTGTTATTCAACAGCTCTGATTGGTGCATTTCGATCCTTGCTGTTCACTCAGTGATTTGCTCCTTCGGCGGTCCGCTGTCTCACGGCTCTCCTGTTGTTGTGTTTTTTGATTGTGGGCATCCACGCTTCTGGAATTTCTATTCCACTATCCCTGTTGATATTGTTAGGGTGAAGTCTTATATGAATTGTCTCTTTGACCCTGCGCATGTAGTATTGAGGGTCACGATCAGTAAACTTTACTACGTTCCAGAGTGGCTTGTGTCGGGTGTTGTGGGCATGCTCTGAAACGGCGGAGGTCTCGGTACGGGCGAGTCGAATGTCTCGATCGTGCTCCTTAATTCTGTCTTGCATAGGTCTTCCAGTCTCTCCGATGTACACCTTGCCGCATTCACAGGGAATCCTGTGAACTCGTTGGCTTGTTCGGCACTGTTGTTTGGTTTTGCCTGAAGAAGACTAGCAGTATGCAGTGGAAATGTCGCGATCTACATTACATGTAACTACATCGTGATACAAACGAAAAACTTATCTTTTATTGCTATTCACCACGATGAATAACCACAACCTTTTCTACGAAATGAATAAAAGTAATGTTCCAAGTTCGGTACTCTTAACAGAAAAAAACAGAAGTAATGGGAGCTCTCCCTGAAATAACAAAATTCAGTGGTACGTTAAGGGCTTGTGAGCAACCAGAAACGGAAAACAAAATGAGATCTATCGTTTATGGTATTGCCGTCGTCATAAAGTTATCCTCGGGAAGTTTGAGTTACCGGTCTGTTAATTTCGGGAAAGTTCTCCAAAAGGAGGGACTATCGGGCCTGTACGGAAGTCGAACCCGGGACCTCTCGCACCCAAAGCGAGAATCATGCCACTAGACCAACAGGCCGGAGATGTCAAATGTGGTTTAGGGAGGGTATTTTCTCTATCAAGACTTGTGAGAGCTTCATCCTACAGAGGAGTCAGAGATCGAAGAGAGACTCGGACAGAAGGCTCTAAAGAAAGAACCAGAACTCTAAAAATATGACCAAATTCTAAGATCTAAGGTCGGCCATCTGAGATTGTCAGGGAGTATTACCACAGCGAACAGCTTCTCAAAGTTTACTTAGCTCCTGGTAAGGTGGTTGCATTTGAAAGAGGAGCTGTGCGAGCCAACCCCAACGTCAGGCAGAAACCCGCAAACAGGTCACCACTGCTCCACCATCAATCTCACCAATGAAACAAGTTTCTCCAAGTGACAGTTAGGGTGCGTACATCCCACACTGAAGGAAAGGTAATGAAGACAGACAGGAAATGAAGCCCACCCTTCAAATTATGTAAACTGGGATATTCCAGTCTACTTTTGTCTTTTTCAGCTTAATGGTAAAGGCGTGACTGCACTTGATTTCCAACACATGAGCATGTGAGCGCCACAGCTAGTAACTCTGTAAAAGTATTTTTTACCGAGAAATGAGCCATATAAAACTTGCAACAAGGAAGCAAAAGGGTAGGAGGTGCAGGTGTAAAATACCGTCTCCGGGTGGGCTTGAACCACCAACCTTTCGTTTTAAGCTTGCTTTACCGACTTTTTTAAGAGTTTCTTTTAGAGCCTTAAAGAGTCTTTGTGAGTTTCTTTTAAGAGTTTAATTTCTTTAAAAAAAAGAATTAGCCATTGTTATCAAAAGCCACCAAACCAGGATGGAGTATGGTCGTATCATATATATGTTAACGCTTCTTGTTCCATCATTTCATTTTTCTATTTCTACAACCTGAGCTGAACAATAGTATGACTACTGCCTCACCATATTTATGGAGGCAAATTTGTGGAAAGTGAAGATTTCCATAATTACTAACAGGAGGGAAGAACAAACATCTGAAATTTGTTACATTCTTGGTCGAGGTAAAACTAATCATTTATCCTCTTGCTTCAAAGTTTTTCTAAAAGTATGTTTCTGGCAGGGCTCGAACCTGCGGACGTGATAACCACTACACTACAGAAACCTGTTACATTTGTTGTAATAAACACTTGAATCTAATTTAATATTGCCTGTAGAGTATCGTTATCAGAGTCAATGATACACGGCACGGCACGACTCTCCTGTTGTTGTGTTTTTTTTTTTATCGTGGGTTTCCACGCTTCTAAAATTTCTATTCCACTATCCACTAAGTTGTTTGGGTGAAGTCTTATATGAATTGCCTCTTTGACCCTGCGCATGTAGTGATATGGGTCACGATCAATAAACTTTACTTAGTTCCAGAGTGGCTTGTGTCCGGTGTTGTGGGCATGCTCTGAAACGGCGGAGGTCTCGGTACGGGCGAATCGAATGTCTCGATCGTGCTCCTAAATTCTGTCTGCATAGGTCTTCCAGTCTCTCCGATGTACACCTTGCCGCATTCACAGGGAATCCTGTAAACTACGCCATCTTGTTTAGCCAGGTCGACAGCGTCTTTTGGTCGTACCAACTGAGATCTTAGCGTAGTCTCCGACTTGAAAACAGCGCGTACGCCTTGTTGTTTTAGGCAACGGCGAAGCTGTTCGGACAGACCTTTGACATAAGGTAAAACCGCAGTAGCTTTGAACTCGTTGGCGGGTTTGGCACTGTTGTTTGGTTTTGCCTGAAGAAGACTAGCAGTATGCAGTCGAAATGTCGCGATCTACATCACACGTGACTACATCGTGAGACAAACGAAAAACTTATCTTTTATTGTTATTCACCACGATGAATAACCACAACCTTTTCTACGAAATGAATTAAGGTAATATTCCAGGTTCGGTACTCTTAACAGAAAAAAAGCAGAAGTAATGGAGCTCTCCTTGAAAAAACAAAATTCAGAGGTACGTTAAGGGCTTGGGGGGAACCAGAAACGGAAAACAAAATGAGATCTATCGTTTATGGTATTGCCATCGTCATAAATTTATCCAAGGGAAGTTTGACTTACCAGTCTGTTAATTTCGGGTAAGTTTTCCAAAAGGAGGGACTATCGGGCCTGTCCGGGAGTCGAACCCGGGACCTCTCGCACCCATGCCACTAGACCAACAGGCCGAAGATGTCTAATTTGGTTTAGGAAGGGTATTTTATTCATTGCTGTCATTAAAGCGGGTGGATTTACACCTGCGTCATGAACAGACTAGTGTTACTGGTGTTTTGATCATGGTCGCACTTCGGAACATTGTTCAAGTCTAAATGACAACCTTAGCCGGTTTACAAGGAGTGTACATTAAGACTGCAAAACAAGTTCTTTATCGGACGAAAGAATCAACAAATCAAAGACGAGCAGTGGAATGCACTAATTGTCACTCAAGACTTGTGAGAGCTTTATCCTACAGAGGAGTCAGAGCTCGAAGAGAGCCTCGGACAGAAGGCTCTAAAGAAAGTACCAGAACTCTAAAAACATGACCAAATTCTAAGATCTAAGTTTACCTAGCCCCTGGTAAGGTAGTTGCATTTGAAAGAGGAGCTGTGCGAGCCAACCTCAACGTCAGGCAGAAACCCGCAAACAGGTCACCACTGCTCCACCATCAATCTCACCAATGAAACAAGCTTCTCCAAGTGACAGTTAGGGTGCGTACATCCCACACTGAAGGAAAGGTAATGAAGACAGACAGGAAATGAAGCCCACCCTTCAAGTCATGCAAACTGGGGTATTCCAGTCTACTTTTGTCTTTTTCAGCTTAATGGTAAAGGCGTGACTGCACTTGATTTCCAACACGTGAGCATCTGAGTGCCACAGCTAGTAACTCTGTAACAGTATTTTTTACCGAGCAATGAGCCATATAAAACATGCAATAAGGAATCAAAAGGATGCGAAGTGCAGGTGTAAAATACCGTCCCCGGGTGGGCTTGAACCACCAACCTTTCGGTTAACAGCCGAACGCGCTAACCGATTGCGCCACGGAGACAACTGAATATGTATTACCGTTGAGGAGTACATTGTGTTTGCTAAATCTTAGATGTTGAGAGTCTTTAGAAAAATGACGAATGTATCAATTTTATAACTATCAATTTTCGGTATCAATCGATAGCAAGAGAAGGGAATTCGTTCATATAATATTGGGTATATATTGTGTTTATACTATTGCTAAATCTTAAATGTTTAGAGTCTTAAGAAAAAAGATGAATGTATCAATTCTATATTTATCAATTCCTGGAATAAAATCGATAGCAAGAGAAGGGAAGTCGTTCATCATAAAAGTTTCATCTAATCCCAGTTCCACCGCAGCTTTCGTGTAGATCACTATGGGATTGGTTGTTAGTATTAATAAGGGGTCAGAACATTTTCCACAGTTTCGTATTTTGCATACTAAGTCAGGAACTTGTTTAGGTGTATGATACCCCTGAAGTTTACAGACGGTTGTAAACTACATTCCTCAATTTTTTCGCTGCCTTTGCTATAAAGTAATGATCCCTGGACTGTGCTTTGGGTTTAAGAACTGTAAGAAGCTCCCTATTATCCAACAACGACAAGCACCAGTTCCCATTCACGCTTTGAAGGCAGCTTTTAGAAAGCATGTCCTAACAGAATTAAGACATTTTTATATCATTGCCTTGCTATATCAGCCTCGCATTCCTCGGTTTTTTTGTCAAACGCACAAAGAACTTCTTAACTGTTTGGCCGGCTCCATCTCAAAAATTAACCGCTCTACAACACCAGTACCTTCATCTCCAAGAGAGGCGCCGTAGCTCAGGTGGTTAGAGCGCCTGTCTAGTAAACAGGAGGTCATGGGTTCAAAGCCCATCGGTGCTTTTCGGTTTTCTTTTTCTCATAATTTTATTTAATATACTTTCATAAATTGTCCCATTTCCTGTGTCAAAAAACACTGGTAGCAAGAGTGGCAGGACCCTTTCGCCATTGTTAATCCTACCAGTATGCAAGACACATGTCACATGTGGACCTAGCAATGACCCATTGCAGCGTATTGTCCTTGTGGCTCAGGGCTAGAGAATCCGAGGGCGGAATGCGAAGATCTAAGGTTTAGCTTCTCATAAGGACTCAGAACTTTTCCGTTTTCCTAAGCTTGTGACAAGACAAAAAAAAACATCTCTGAGGGAAACCTAATAGGACGAAGAACAATTTTTTATTACATAAACAACTTTAAACTCTCTCTCTACCAGCTCAAAAAGGATCCGATCGATAGCGGAACCTAAATCAAACTTACTCCAATCTTTATTGCTGTAAGGGGAGATAAAATTTATCCTCAACGGATCGCTGGTGATACCATAGTGAAATGCTACACCCGTCCACTTAGGATCTGAAGTAAGTACATAAGAGGATAACCTCTCTTGGCTACATTTTTTTTGAAATGAATTGAAGCATATATTAAGACTCTATTGCTTTAAAAAAAATTTTTTTTCGGGAAAAAATTGTTTCGGGCTGACGTGTAACCTCTTTACTTCGGAAGCCAAACGCACATATTCCATTCAAATTTCGTAGCTATTTCAATATGGCCTGTTCAGTATCGTTATCAGATTTAATCGTAACTCAATTCGAAAAAGCCCATTAGGAGCCAGATTTAATGACCTCTTATAAATAGATATCAAGTCGGTGACGTTAATTTGGCGCGAAAGAGATTTTCGTGTTGACAGCACTGCGTAATCTTTCGTAATTCCTGTAGTGTAGCTCTCTGTTTGTTGATATCGCTTTCTTATGTTCATAAAAAAAGACGAGTTGATTTCGGAATTGAAGAAAACTAATTTCAAAACTTTTAGCCTGCAGGGAAAAGTTGATATTTGGAAAATATGGTTAAGCACAAAAACGGTACGCGTCTCCCCGGCGGGGAATCGAACCCCGGTCTCCCGCGTGACAGGCGGGGATACTCACCACTATACTACCGAGGATGTCACACTATACTACCGAGGATGTCACACTATATGTGGTGTAAATACTATTTCGTGAATAAGTGGATTTATTAATATTTTATACGTGTTCAGTCCTTTCTGTTGCCAAGACTAACCTGACTAAAGAGGGTGCCCTCTGTAGGAATTAAATCATTTTAAGTTTTTTTTAGCGAACGCACTGATTTCCTTAATTCTGTCTCAGTCCAAGTTTGTTGTCTGGAATCGGATAATTCCCTCATTATTACATACACCAAACACTCAGAAGATCACAGGTTCATCTCTTAAGTTTTGTCCTCTTTATGTAGGAGGCAATTCACGCCTAAGATTGTAGTGTTATTCGAAATTCGCTTAAAGATGAGTAATGCTTACACTTATAATGAGTATAACAAAAGAAGTGGCCATTTTGATTATTGCTCAGTAGTCTGTGCGCTGACCGGTGACGTAACAGATTCTGGCTCATAATTATGTTTGCACTCAAACCAGAGTAGAACAAAGCACACAGCAGTCAAACATCTGTGCATGGACAACATACCCTTGTCGTGTGCTTTGCGCTGTCACAACCATGTTGTCCAACAGGAAATATAAGCAACCACGCAAGCCACTAAGTCTCGATGTTTCAAAAGCGTAGAACTTTTTAAGATAACTAAAGCTAAAAACAAAATATACGGAAACATAGAGTATATTTAACAAATAGATTCCAAGTTGCCGTGCGTCTGTTCAGTAATAGATCACAGATGACGTCAAAATGTGGTAAGAACAAAAAAGTGGCACACGAGGCGCAGCCGAGTGTGTCACTGATGTTCTTACTACATTTTGATGTCCTCTGTGATCTATTACTGAACAGACGCACGGCAACTTGGAATCTATTTGTTAAATATAATAAAGAATTTTAAAAAGTTTTAATGATGACGTCATCTATACGTCTATCCTCCTGTCCTCCAATAGATCATAAGTGAGAACCAATGGAAACACGTGCATAACTGAGCTTATCATGTAATTGTTAATCTGCTGAGAGATATCCTATGTTAAAACAAAGCGCAAGAAAAAATGATCCACGCGTTGCGACATAATAAGCCTTCATAAAAGAAAGACAAAAGGTGACAACAAAAAGTATTCATTATGTTTCTGGCAGGGCTCGATCCTGCGACCTTCCGCGTGTTAGGCGGATGTGATAACCACTACACTACAGAAACCACCCCGCTAGATTTCATTGTCTCTAGCCCCAGAAATGCATAGACTTAATTTCGACATGTTTGATGTGAAAACAACAGTTGGCGTAAAAACTGGACCTCGCCGCTGCATTTTAACTTGTTGTCCTTTTCCCACAACGTTAGGATAGTAAAATCTGCTCATTGGGGTCATTCCTGGAACACATAAACGAAACGAGGTGCGGAGATACGCATTTAACCAGAAACCACAACCCGGAATACAGCCTTTCTGAACCCCTCCGCCCCCCCTAAAAACCATATGATCCTCAAATATTATCTGCCCCTTCCCCCCCTCCCTCCCCCATGGACAATAACTGATCCTTGAGCTCAACGAAAAAAAAGTAAGATGCATGGAAATTGATTTTGATTTACAAAAGACATTTCACCTCCCGTGTTCAGCCCTTTCCTGTCTTTCAGAAGCATAAGGCGAGTCTTCGATAGGAAATATTTCAAATAAAATACATGAAAGCTTTCATTAATTGAAAAAAGAAAAAACGCGAAGGTTTAGGGCTCTTGAGGAACAAGGAAACGAATATATATGAATTATAGAACGTATGGTAATAAAATT